CCCTCAAACATGAATCCACATCGCCGATCTGCGGCTCGCCGACTCGTGCGGCTCGGGGTACCAGAGGGCGTGGCCCAGATGGAGCGTCTGGAGACTGGACGCGTAGATCTCGTCCGGAGCGGACAGCGGTCGGAACCAGCGAAACATGAGGAATGGGAAGGGGATACGCAGCGCAATCTGGAGGAGTGTGGGCGACAGTGCAAAGCGTGCCAGGGACACGCACGCTGTGGGATCGATGGCGAGGACGGCTCCAGCGTCACTGGCCTGATGGATTCGCACGAGGAAGACGGGCGCCCAAACATTAAATCGTCGGGTAGGAGAGGATTGGGCATTCGCAATCCTCGCATTCTAGAGTAAGAAGAACTCGCGGTATGTAGTGCTAGGGCGACCAGCATGGAAACGGCGACGTGCATCAGTGAAATGGTGCCGGCCGCGAGGAGGAATTCGCGTCCTATGGCCAGATGACCTGGTCCATGATACAGGGTATCTGAAATGGCCCAATTAATATTGAGATTGGACTACTGGATGTGTTAAGAATTTGGCTGCGCACCATGACGTCGCGCCCGGGGATCGCAAGGAATTGGAAGTGGCTCGGTTGATAGGTTCTTGTTGCGCTGACGGGGGTATACCGTCTCGATTAGTAAGGATAACGATATCGAACTGATGGCTTGTCATCACCGATGAGGATAATATTACAAGTTGGCCGCCGTCGACATCGTGGTGAAAGAAAGACCAACGGATAGTGTCTTACATAAGTGCCTCGTGGCGTTTGATGCGCCCTCGGGCGGACTCGGGCGCCGACTCTCTACGTTCGATCGGCGGCACAAGCCGTCTGATACCCAAACCTTGTGCGAACGAGAGCTATCCTCGGTCTAAATGCGAGTCTTGTCCAATATCAATGCTGCTCTCTGGTCTTGGTGCTCGAGTAATGAAAGTTTTCTCGCGGATGTCTTGGCTTAAATCCGTCCTCGAAATCGTGTTGAAAGATCCGTAAAGCATCTTTGATGGTCTGAGGCCATTATAGAACACTATTGCATTTTATATGTCGTTCGCGCGTGTTATAGAACGCCGTCGTGCACTGGTATCCTTCGAGCGCGCTATACCAGAGCAGCGCTCGATGTCCCTGACTTGGGATTTGTAGGTCGTCCTTGCGCGGTGCAAGCCTACCTAACTTGGCCCGCACCCTACTTTCAAACAACTTCGAATTTAAACGACTTGGTATTGACGTGCACGCTACCGGCTTCTCATCCAGGCTCAGCTAAGACAACCAGCACGCCACCGCCGGTCTAGCCGCCCAGTATCCCCTCTACGATGCTGTGCCCGCAACCCTCGGTACGCTCGAAGTACTCAGTCATTGCATCTGTGCGGCCCTCAGACCCCAGGCGCCCTCTTGCACGACGAATCACACCTGCAACTCGCGCTGCACCTTCTCCCGCCCTCTACACCGCCAGCGCGCGCGGACGCCGAGTCAGTATGTGAACGATGCCCAGCGCGGCTGCCTGAACCGGGCGCACAGGGCCGAGACATCTGCCGCGCCACATTCCTATCCGGCATCGACCCGCGCGCCGTTTGACTCCTCAATTGGGACAGAGGTTGATTCAGAAAGACAGCGTCCTCGTCAACTTCCACTTCGCTGCAGAGCAGGGCCTTGGGCGTATGTTTCACGCAGAGCGACGACTGGACCCGGAGCCTTCACGACGTAACTCATGAGCACGACTCGTCGATTGCTGTGGGTGATCCCGGCACCCGCTTTGTACATGGGCCCCGCCGATCCGTGTCTAGACCACCTCCTGCAGCTCCCTTCGCCCGACCCGGAGGCCAGCAGCTGTCCTTTTAATTGGCGAGCCGCCGACGCTCGCGGTCCCGGTTAGCAAAATAGCGCGCCACGTGACCAGCTACTCGGCCCGCAGTTCTGTTGGTGGCAGCGTCGAGGAGGGCCACGCACAACGCCAGGTGGTGACACGCACGATAACCGACGGGGCTGCGTGGCCCTGGCGCACGACGCCGAGGCATTTTCCCGTGCACCCGGAGCGTCTCAGGGCTAGGACGACCCCCGCCTCACGTGCTCGTACTGGCCTCTGAGCACGCTGCCGTGCTCTCCAAGCGGGACAAAGGCTGGCCTGGAAAGACAGAGAATCCGGGCTCCTCCGTGTCGCCTTGCTGCAGAACAGGGCCTTGAGCGTATGTTTCACGCGCAGCAACGACCCCAGGGTCTTCACGACGTAACTCATAAGCGCGACCCATCTATTATTGTGGGTAATCACGGCTCACCCGTCTGCATAAGGGGCCCCGCCTATCCGTGTCTAGACCACCTTCGGCGGCTCTCTTCGCCCGACCCGGAGGCCAGCAGCTGTTTCTTTTACTTGGCAAGCCGCCGGCGCCCACGATTCTGTTGAATAGGGCGCTCCCAATGCCCGTAGCTCTGCTTGGGTTTTCCCTGGGAGCGATTTCGAGAAGGCCGCGTATGATGCGCCTGCCGGCCTCGCGCGGGGCCGCCCTGTCGTCACCAGCGCAATATTTCTTCACTCTGCTCGTCTTCTGGCCTGTACTGCTCGCACTTCTGAGCACCAAAGACGCGCAAGGACGTCCTCTCGGGCGGTGGCGCTGGGCGGTCCGATGCATGACCGTCGACGCGTCCCGCGGGTGCTGGTTCGTTTTGCTGGATTTAGGGCCTACTAAATGGATTTTGATGCCATCTCTGTCGTAATTCATCATAGTCAACCGCCTTCCGAAGATATATTCTGGGATGTGCTCTCACCAGTTCTCCCCGAACGGCGCGAGGCTATGCGGACGCGACCAGATGCTCACCAGATCGCTCCCGCGAAGGCGGGTGACTGGGTTTTTTGTCGGTGATGGGGCTACTCAGGACGGCTGCTAGCAGTAGTGGGGATGTCATCGATGAAGCACATTATACGCTATGTGGGGCCAAGCAGCAACAGACAACGACAACAAGCATCATCGCCTGTGACGCGAAGGAAAAGTTTGGAGTTCAGCTCGGCGCCCGAGTCGGCAAAGGCCGAGAGGATCACGTGAACCGAACCGGTTAATGATCTCGACGCCAATGGCTCGCCCTGATATGTCGTACGGGCCAACATCCTTGTGCGTACACACTCTCAAAGCTCCGTATAATGTCAATCATTTTGATTATCCCGCACGAATAGCCAGTCTTCACACTGCACAGCGTGCCCCGCTCGCCAGGAACTAAACCTTGGGCGCCAGAGTGGGATCGTCTTATTGTCAAGAGGGCGCGGAAACAGTTGGCTTCAATTTCGCGGCAAGTGGAGAAAGGCACTGCGCTTGGAGAGCCTCAACAAACTGCTGTGAGTTCATTCTCCTCGTCAGTTTCCTGCGTGCGTTTCTCAGGAAGATTCGGCCCCTAGAATCGGCGGCGTGCTAGGCCAAGACAGGTGCACACCAGGAGATGATGCGAATGAGATGATGGAATTGGGATGAGCGCGATGTGAGCCGTATCAAGCCAGTTTTTCAGAGGTACATGCTCACGCTTGTGCGCAGAGAGGTCACTAATGGCAGGATACGTACGTAGAGGTCGAGGTCCAGCTTGAGCGAACAGCACAGACAACAAGCTGTTCGCTAGTGGCCATCACCACCATAGCTTCGACAACATACCGCGTGGAGGGCCTAAGCATAGTCATGCTTGACGGGCCTGCATCTTTCGTAGCATCTGCCTTTGCGATCAAGATTCAACTGTCTTATGCCAAGCCATTGTCAATTACCCGGATATAAGCCCTGCTTGTTCTCAGATGCGATCCTCGGCAGTGTGCAGTTTGCTGCGTTATAGGCTGCCTTTGACTCGACGCAAGATTCGTCTGCAAATACCCACACCCTTCTTACCTCCTAAATTGGCATGTCCGCTCTGCACAGCGTTATTTTCGATCATATCCTCCCCCGCCCTCCGGTCGCCGCCCACTGCGCTCTGTGCGCATCTGAATCTGTCAGCGCGGCTGACCCCCAACGCTAGCGTCTAGAACGTGCTAAATTGCGGGGATCAAGACCGCCGTGCATGGGACAGGTCAAGCCCAGGACAGTCCAAGGTGCGACCTTGCACTTTGCTCTGCATTTATACTGATTTTGGTGTGTGCGTTGCTCCTCAGTGCCGACCAAGCGTGCCCCCACTCGATCGACGATTCGGGCCATCCTTACTCGGGAATATCTGCTACGGGACAGCCTACAAGCAGAGTCGTTGAGACCACGCCTCAGAAGACAGACGAATGCAGTGCGCCCGCCCGCAAATCCCGTCGAGCGCAGGTCTTGCGAAGCACCCATATCGAGCGAAGACGCCTGCGCCCTCAACCTGCCTACGTGAGGAATGGTCTTGGCTATGGCGGAATTTCGGGCGAGATTGTGGCTGGTGGGTCTTATAATTGGGCCTCGATTGTCGTCCTTCTGTAGGTCGACCACGACAAGTGCACAGAAATACTCGTCAACCTTGTCACGAGATAGCGCGTTTGCTATGTCCCACCTGTGAGACAACACGTGGTACGATCGTCACCAACGTCCTGGGCGGCTACTCTCTCCCTGCAGTCGACCGCAGTGGTCAATGTCGCTCATGTTTGTTCGAGTCGAAAGCCATCGCAAGACGAAAATATATTGTTTGGGTTGACCTACCGATGTTCGCGCTGCGGGAGTCCACCGCCCGACTGACTAGGTTAGCTTGCGTAGAGATTCCCACACGCCTGCCCTGTATACGATACCTTGCTGCGCATGGTCTATGAAGCCTGGAATACACGCCGTAGGTCGATACACTAACCGGCTTCTGAGATCCAAAGTGTATTTTACATTCGCCCATGTTTGCTTGTAACGTAATACTAGGTAAGTAACAGCGTACTATCGTATTCGCAGTAGATCTTGAATGTTATACAAATGGAGATGTCTGTTGTCGTCATCACGTATCAGAAGGGTCTGACTGCCAGGTAAAGGCAGAGCTTTAACATGATTGGAGTCGCCGCTGCACCCTTCAACCTTCCCGATGAATGTACCGGACTTCGCGCCATAGATGTCGACATTTCCGTATGTATCGATGAAGACCACGCAGTCTCCGGACGGAGAGTATGTCGCATGACATGGTGTACTTGCTAATTTGAAGGTACGGCGTAGCTGGCCCGTCCGCGAATCATACGTAGTGGCTGTTTCGTCTGCCTTGCCAATTACCAATATCTCGGCCCCATCTGGAGAGAGTGCCACAAGATTCAACAGCTCTCTCTGTTCGTCGATCGCGAGAAGCTCTTGACCAGTCATTGCGCTCCAAACTTTGATTCGAACCTTGTCCGTTTTGGTGGTCGTGACTATGTGATCGCCTTGGCGCGACATCGCCCCAGTTGCGCTGACACAACCAACGCGAACGTAGGTCTTGGTATCATAGATAGAATAGGTGTCGTTTAGCCTGATATAGAAACGCGAGTTGTCCGGAGAAAAGGCTAGCTCATACACCCTCCCGTTAACGCTGAAGGACTGCAGGCATGCTCCAGTTAATGCGTCCCAAAATTTTACGGAATGGTCGATGGAGGCGGTAGCGATGAGTGCGCCGTGAGGGGCGTATGCAATCTTCTCTACCTCCCCAGTATGTCCTTCGAGACGTAGAAGTGCACATCCACGTCGGATATCCCAGACAATCACAATATTGTCCTCGGCTCCCGAGACGAGGGTGTGACCGTTGGGAGAAAATGCTAGGGAAGAAACCTTTTTTGTATGTCCCTGATGGTGCAAGCACTGAACCAATAGACCGTCCGATAGTCGCCATACGAGGACATCATTAGTCCAAAACGATACCGCCAGAAGTCTGTCGTTGACTGCCGGGTGAAATACTGGGCGGAAACGGATCACATCTCGAGTATCAGTGAAGTCAAGACACTTCAATTTCAGAGGTTGGGCCTCGTCTCTCGCTGGGCCAACGAAGGCACGCAGCTCATGCAAGCGACCAGCGACATCGAGGGTGATATTCGGCCATTCTGCCATGTCGGGAGTGGTGATGGTGCGACGCGCGAAGGCCCGTTCCCGCTCATGCGCAATCACGTCTTCCATGCAAAGCGATCCAACTGCGCACAATTTAGAGACCGCAGTCGTTGGTGAATGATATACTCACGCGTGCCGTCGATCTCAACTGGAGGTTGCTTTCCGCGAAGATAGCTTGCGAAATCAACGACACAGTCGCCACCCTGAGTAAAAGTGAGTGCTTTTACTTTGAGATATTCGTGTAGCACGTACGATGATGCTCTCGACATCGTCGTCGCTTGCAATAGCAACCTCGGCATTGGAGGTCTGCAGAAATGCGCTGCCCGGTTAGCACGGCGAAGATAACTGGGGGGCATGCCTACCTCCAATATGTATTCCAGAAGGATGTCTAGCGGATCCGAAACTTTGCTCTGGCATCTCGTCAACCGTGCGTTCCGCTACATGATAACAAAAAACACACCTCACTCCCGGGCCCTAGGATGTCTACTTCGTCCTCGTCCTCGTCCTTCTCCACCATGACTCCTTCTGCTCCGGAAGCGCCACGCCCATCGCCCTGACCCGGCAGCCGATCGTAGCCAGCGCCTGCGACGACCTTCCGAAGAAATCCCAGTCGCTTCAGCATCTTGTATCGCTTCACGAAGACGGAATGGTCTCGCTTTCCACCGGCGGTTTGGGAGCTGGACGCTCCCGACAAATAGTTCTGGCCTTGCCGTTCCATCCTGGGACCCGTCACGGACCTCGAGTGCGACCCGCCTGCTGCGACTCCCGCGACGCCGCCAACACGGCCTTCCGCCGAGGCACTGGAGGTAGTGCTTGCGTTCCCGAAAGCGATCGCCGCCCAGTCCGCCCCAGTCTTGACCCAGCCGCTGACTACGACGATGTCCTCCGGATTTACGTCCTGGAAGAGCTCGTCTTTGACGTACGCGCACCACTTGTCGTGATTGCGGAGGATGTGCTTCTTCAACAGACGGTTCTCGAACATCCTTTCGGCGTGCGCCTCGCTCTTCAGAACGAGTACTGCACCCTGCGCCGCCTTGCATGTGTAGCTAGTTTCGAGAGTCACAGATACACTGGGACCGGCCGTCCTACGAACTGTCAGCAGGAATGCACCTGTCGGATTAGTCGGTGTACTTACACATCTGCCGAGGCATGTATCTCCCTGCTCTCTACTCCATGGCTACGATAGTTGCCTGGGACGAGCGGCTGGCGCCTGCGATCGATCTTGAACACGCCTGGAGGCACGGGCTCGGTGATCTTGTACGGCGGGTCCCAGAACGTGACTTTCTTCTCGGCAGCAGACGTGTCGAGGTTGAACAACCTGATGAACGCCCCCTCAAACATGAATCCCACATCGCCGATCTGCGGCTCGCCCGACTCGTGCGGCTCGGGGTACCAGAGGGCGTGGCCCAGATGGAGCGTCTGGAGACTGGACGCGTAGATCTCGTCCGGAGCGGACAGCGGTCGGAACCAGCGAAACATGAGGAATGGGAAGGGGATACGCAGCGCAATCTGGAGGAGTGTGGGCGACAGTGCAAAGCGTGCCAGGGACACGCACGCTGTGGGATCGATGGCGAGGACGGCTCCAGCGTCACTGGCCTGATGGATTCGCACGAGGAAGACGGGCGCCCAAACATTAAATCGTCGGGTAGGAGAGGATTGGGCATTCGCAATCCTCGCATTCTAGAGTAAGAAGAACTCGCGGTATGTAGTGCTAGGGCGACCAGCATGGAAACGGCGACGTGCATCAGTGAAATGGTGCCGGCCGCGAGGAGGAATTCGCGTCCTATGGCCAGATGACCTGGTCCATGATACAGGGTATCTGAAATGGCCCAATTAATATTGAGATTGGACTACTGGATGTGTTAAGAATTTGGCTGCGCACCATGACGTCGCGCCCGGGGATCGCAAGGAATTGGAAGTGGCTCGGTTGATAGGTTCTTGTTGCGCTGACGGGGGTATACCGTCTCGATTAGTAAGGATAACGATATCGAACTGATGGCT